TATTTACGGTAGCACAAACATTGCAGGCTAAGCAAGCTTGTCTAGGGAAAAGTGTGAGGGTATGGTCATGTTTTTTCGGGTGGTCTATTAAAAAAGGTATGGTTGCTTGAGCACAATGAATATGCATAAAAATGTCGCATAGAGCAGAATAATAAACCATACCCCATAATTTCTTTCTGCATGTGATGCAATGCTCAGATCTTTTGTGAGAAAAGTAAAGTTGGAAAGATTGTTGGACGTGGTAAGGATAACTGATATCAAGTGGAGACTCGACGCATTCTTTGTGGTAATTTCTATCACATTCAGCGCAGAAATAATAGTCTGAGTCTACCTTTTGGGATGTGCAAAGATCGCAGTCCATGTCTGGATCAGCTTCTTGGTTGTTGCACCAAAATAGAGGCAGTACATGATGATGACGGTCGTCGTTGGTGTCATCAAAATCAGGAAGAGGGGAAGTCTCCAACTTGAGAAATAGTTCATCTCTTTCGGGGTCCCATGTATAGTCGAGATGATCCAGTTGTGACTGAATTCGTGATCTAGGACATAAGAGAAGAGGTTCAAGAGGAGCGTTGCCGCCGGAGTTTGGGCTCTGTATTTGTGGTATAATATCTTGACCTAGAAAGTCGTCATTACTATATATTAACTTTATATACAGCTAAGCTGCCTGGTTGACAATAACAAATACACCTATGGTGATGATAATAAGTTAAATACAGCTAAGCTATATATATATATATATATATATATTTTTTAATTTGCTTTCACCCTAGCTGTTTGCCTGTTTCAATTAGTCTTTCTAAATACATATATTTATTTTCTTCTTACAACGTACAGTCTTTTTGTACGATATATGCATGATATAAAAAACGATTACCTAATATTCCAATGGGTTATAGGGAACGACTTTTACTTTTCCTGTTTTCATCTCGAGATATCACTTACCAGTTACCAGAGATCTTTGTTGTATACTAAAAAATATAAAGAAGATCAAAATATACGTTAACATGTTTAAAACGACTAGAGAATTTAATCGGAATTCAATGGTTTGTTTTGGATCATACAATGCATGAGTTCCAGCATGTGATTACGGGATTCATGACTTTTAACCATCGATCCGCTTTCCACACTAAGTTCACAGTTGTCGAACATAATACAGTCTTTAAATATTTTTACAAATTGTCAAACAAAAAAAGTTGCAATGAATATTGTCAAACAAAAAAAAGAAATATTAAGATCTCCCACTACAACCATTTGACTTGACACAATGAAAAGTAGTGCTGTATCACGATTTTTTTGTTATGAAGGAAAAAATCTCATTAGTTCAATAATCATATTAAGATTAAAAATGAAGAATATAGCTATAGCAAAAGTGTAATTAGATGACTAACCAGTTGACTTTTTTTGGGATAGTTTCTCATTTTGAATGTTCAAACACAAGTTATACACCATTCTTACGATTGATCGTTTTTATACTGTTGATTCACAACAAGAGCAAAGATAGCATACTATAATGGATAAGTTTGGTCTACATAAGCATTTGCAGGATACATGAGTTATCCGTTATTTCTTTTCTTTTTTTATAAAAGAAGTAATAATTCTAAAACGATGACATTTGTTATTGGCTTTGATATGACATCGTGTTTTTTTCTTACTTCGTCTTCTCATTCTCTGTTTGCTCCAAATTGCCATTTTCAACTTTGTGATGACTGTGCAGCTCATTGCTTTATATTTAATTTACTGAATCTCTTCTTCTCTAAAACTTGCCAAAGTATGTGTCTTCTACTCTTCTTTAATCTTTGTTGCTGAACTCTCTGATTCTAGTTAGTGAGGCCAGTGTTCTTTAACTCCGAAAAAACTCCGAAAAGAAAAGGATACAAGGGCTATAGTTGGGCTTTTCTACCTAAATATCTTTCTTCCACAAGCTACGTCACATAGCAAAAAATAGTTTGGAGATGCGGGGTATCGACCTCCGTACCTCTCGCATGCTAAGCTAGAGCTCTACCATCTGAGGCCCAGGGGCGGATCTAGTTAATGAGGAGTGGGGTCAAGTGCCCCCACTCTTTTTTATTTATTTTTTTAAATATTTAGGCAAATTCAATTAAAATAAATTTAATTAAATGGTAAAATTAAAATTTTGCCCCCAATTAATAATTTATATCCCTAGCTAAATTTTTTTTTAGATCCGCCAGTACTGATCTGAGCTACATCCCCTTTACCAGTAACAGAAAAGATAAGGGCACATTCTGAAATCTTCTTCACATATCACCAGTTATATCTTCTTCAGGAAAGGTATACGCTGTAACTTAGTCCATTGTATCTCATTATCATTTCGGTTTCAGTTATCATATCCTGTAAGTTGGTTATGGTTTAGTTAGAATCAGTTAAAAAATCTTGATAAAAAAAAAGAAACCTCTTTATGAGTCTATGAGTTTTGAGATTCTAGTGAACTGATTTCTCTGTATTTTATGTTTGGTTTTTGACAGCATATTTTGTGGGTGTTCAGGTAGAAGCAAGTTTATACAAAATTTATACAAAATTTCTTTTTTCAGCAATAATATTAGAATTTGTAAATTTTCATAATTTCCTTATACAGTAATAATATTAGAAATTGTAAACTTTTCTTAATCATGAATGTTGTTGTGGACCAATAAAATTGTCCTTTTAAATCTTATGTGGATATCCTAAAAAGCATTTAGCTTCAACTTTTTTTAAGATGAATTTCAATTTTCTAAGGCACATTTAACATAACATAATTTATCTGCTTTTCACGTTCCATAACATTGGATGCGAACAACGACTACGACATAAAAAGCAAGTTGGCCGAGAAAGAGAAACTAAAACGATTTTCATCCCTAAATTCTTAAGGGGTTTTTAGTGCTTTTGGATATTGAAAATAAATGTAAAATGAATAAAAACTTAAGAACTTGACTCTTAAATATTTTATATAACAACGTACCCTTTTGAAAAAGTATTTACAATGGTCTGTTGTAAAAGAGTTTATAACAGTTAGATATTTTTTGGATGTTATGATGGGTGTTGTAAATAAAATAAAAAAGAGCTCTAACAAAAATAGGGTTCAAATTTTTTTCAACAGTGTAAATGCTGATATGTGGGCCATAATGACATATGAAGAGTATTAATTGGATGTTCTGATTTTTTTATCTCAATTATTAAACATCAATTATTTCATAATTATATATATATTTTTATACATAATTTTATACTAAAATTCATCATTTTTTATACTCTATAAATAGTCACTAGTTTTATTTGATTTGGACACAGAAAAAAAAACTATTTTTTATTAAAAATAATGGGGTAAGGTGTTGAATTTTATCGAACAAAATCTTTTTAGATGATGAAAATTGAGTGAGTGTTGAATAAATAGGTGTAGGAGATGAAAGATGATGTAAAAAAAAGAAGAGATGATGTAGAGTGTAAAGTAGACATAAAAAAAAAAAAAAATCAGTATACATAGTCTTAATGTAGTGGTGGTATCCATTTGTTTTTTTCTGCACCAATCACAAGACACAAAACGTAATGGTGGGGCTCATTTACTTTTTTCCTTACATCTGAGAATGCCACCTAGTAAGAACTCATTAGACCAAGTGCAATAGAAAAGCAATTAAGGTGTTTTTTCAACTAAGCTAGGAAAGGAAAATTTTCCCTTCAAGGAAAATCTGATATGTCCTACGATATTAATGATGTGGCTGTTTATGATTCAATGATTGTTTATTTTTTCTTTTTTCTTTTTTTTCTCCTCATATTTTTTAAATGTTATTTACAAAATAAATGATCAAAATTATTTTTTTTATATAATTATTTTTTATTTTTAACATTTATAAATAGAGCTTATATTTATATCATTTGGACACAAAAAATCTCAAGTTTTAAATAAAAATGATAATTTTTATATGATGAAGTGACGTGAAGGAAAGAGAAAATAATTATTAATTGGACTCCATCATATAAAAAATATTGGATGAGTTGAAGGGAAAATTTGCATTTTATAGGTGAGTTGCAATTTGCCTTTTGAAATTATCTATTGCACTTGGTCTAAGGGGAATTTACTGATGTGGCATTCTCAGATGAAAAGTAAGGAGAAAATTAAATGGATTCCACCATTTCTTTTTGTGTATTGTGATTGGTGTGGAAAAAAAGAAAGTGATACCACCAACTTTCATTGCTTTCTCATCACCTGAAGCAGGTATGCGAGACTAGTATTGGTGTTTGAGAAGTAAGTAGTATGTACCATTTGTTTTGCAAACCTTTGTTTTTCTTTTTGTTGATTTTAAACGAAATAAAGGCAAAAACATCACAGAACCTAATCGGAATTGTAAGAAAAAAAATATTAAAAGAAAAGACTAAAGAGAACTCCATCGTGCGTCTACGTGTAATACGTTTCCCATATATTATGAGTTTTCTTAGGCACATTTAACAGAACATAATATCTGCTTCTCACGTTCCAGAAACATTCGATGGGAACAACGATTACGATAGAAAAAAAGCAATTTGGCCGAATACATGTCGTCATGTCGATGTAGAAAGTCATTTTACTCACTCACTTCCTGTGTGACTTTATATAATGTCGACACTTTGACTACGTAACGTTGTTGTCGAAAAAGAAAACTATGTAATGTTATTTAATTATTAAATCAAACACATATGTAAGCAAAACAAGAGCGTACAAAAACAAATTAACAATCTTACAGATGACAAGAAAACCAAACTAAAAAAATGTAAATACGTGCAGGCCGGTGAACGCCTAGAAAGAAAAAGAAAAGGGATACCACATGGGTGCCTCTTCTTCTTGGAGGTCTTCAGTCGAAATATGAGTGATCGACGGCACATTTAAAAGAACATATTGTTGTCTTTCCATCTGTAAAAAATGTTGGATACGGGCAACGACTATGGCAGAGATTGCAAGTTGGTCGAGTAGGCAAATTATTAGGTAGAAGTTGCATCTTACCAACTATTTCTATACTGAACGGACCAGACACCATATATGGTTCGAACCCAAGTAAGCAATGAATATGAAGCGTGGTGCAGCAATCGTCGCACTTGTAGAAACCTTGTTTTCCTCCAATTGTTAGTTTGCCTTCGCATAACTCACACCAATCCGAGCCACTTGCCTCATCTCCA